ACACACACACAGACACACACACACACACACCTCTCTCCATCTCCACCAGCACCCCAGCAACCCAAGCCCGGATCCTCCACCTCACTTAGACCGCAGTCACTTCTTGGAGGTCTCCCTGCCTCCTCTCTTGCTCTCGGGTGACCCATTCTCCACACAGATCTTGCAGAGCACACTTCAAATAACACCCAGACTCTTTACCATGACCTGCACGGCCCCCGCCTGCCTCTTCCCTCCTCTGGCCTCCGTCCCCTGCGCTCACACGACTCCCCGCCCTGGCCTCCTTTCAGCTGCTCAAACTCTCGGCCACCCCCTCCTCAGGGCCCCTTCCCTTACCAGCTCTGCCTGGAACACACTGCTAACTCCTCGCCTCACCCGTGTCCCATTTTCCCACAGCTGGCCCCTTCTTTTTGAAAAGTTCTTAGCTCCAATGCCACCTTCTCAAAAGTCCTTCCCTGACAGATTTACCTGAATTGCCTCTTCCCTCCCTGCCCCCCCTATCTTCCTTGACTGCACCATGCTCATTCCCTTCAAGGCACTGACCACAGTTTATGGTTATCTGCTGCTCCTTTATCGTCTGGCTGCCACACTAGACCGTGAGTCATCTGGCGGTTTGTCATGGACTGAATGTTTGGGTCCCCCAACATTCAGATTTTGAAGCCCTAACCCCCTGCCCCCCAGCATGGCTGTATTTGGAGATGGGGCCTCCAGCACAGTAGTTAAGCTTAAACGGGGTCACAAGGGTGGGTTCCTGATCCAATAGGATTAATGTTCTTATTAAGAGACAGGGGAGGGGGACCTCTCTCTCCATGCAGACCAGGGAGAACATAGGGAGAAGGAAGCTGTCTGCACGCCAGGGGGAGAGCTTTTCCCGAGAACTGAGCTGCCAGACCTTGGGACTTCCAGCCTGTAGAACAGTGAGGAAGTAAACGTGTGTGTTGAAGCTACCCAGCCTTTGGTATTTTGTCGTGCGGCTCTAGCTAAGACACAGGCACTTGTTTTCTTTGTTCGTTACCTTCTTCCCATTAGGGCGTAGCACTTGGCACATGGCAGGGGCTTGGTAAATACTGGTTAAATGAATGAATGAAGCTTCTCTTCTGCACTGCGTTTCAAGGCGTCTGGGAAGTGGTGAAAGCAGCAGGGCTGGGAAATCAGGAGACCTAGACTGGGTCATAGTGCCATGGTACCACCATTAATTCACTGTGTCCCTTCCCTCTCTGGGCCTCAGTTTCCTGATTGGCAAGACAGTACAACTCAGCAAGATGACTTTCGAGTTCCCCCTAGTGATAAAATGGTATGAGAAAAACAGCTCCCCTAAGAGGCGCCGGGGTGGCTCAGTCGGCGACTCTTGATTTCAGCTCAGGTCATGATCTCAGGGTCGTGGGATCAAGCCCTGCTTTGGCCTCCATGCTTAGCAAGGAGACTGCTTGAGATTCTTTCTCTCTCCCTCTGCTCCTCCCCCAACTTGCACGTGCACGCGCGCGCTCTCTCTCTCTCTCTCAAAAAAAAAAAAAAAAAAATAGCTAGTTCCCCTCTCTGGGGCACTGATGGTGATCTAGGCACTGCACTTGTCCCTTTTCTCTGTTGCTCCTCACTCCTGCCTGGAGAGGTACAGACGCCCTTGTCAGCATTTCACAGGCGAGGAACAACACCAAGGCCCAGAACAGTGACCTGCCAGAAAGGGGAGGAGTGCTTTCAGCATTAAAAACATTGTCCTTTATCCTGAGATTGTATCCTTCCAGCTTTTGGGGATTGAAATATTCTTTCTTTTAAGAAATGACCTTTTTTTTTTTTTTTTTAAGATTTTATTTATTTGTCAGAGAGAGCACGTGAGAGAGAGAGAGAGGGAGAGGGAGAGAGAGGGAGGGGCAGAGGGAGTAGCAGACTCCACACTGAGCAAGTCAACCGATGCGGGGCTCAGCCGATGCAGGGCTCGATCCTGGGACTACAGGATCATGACCTGAGTCGAAAGCAGATGCTTAACTGACTGAGCCACCCAGGCGCCCCAAGAAATGACCCTTTTAAGATACTTAGAGAGAAAACTGAGAATTGGGACGTCTATGCCAATCCCTAAAGTTCATCTGGAAATTTGATAGCTGCATGAAATCCCAAAGTCTTCAACCACATAAATTATGTAGCACATAAATTATTATTATTATTATTATTATTATTATTATTATTATTATTATTATGGAGTTTCTAGTATACATTAAGCATCATCAAGGCACACGGAGATAAACTATAGCTTCAGAGGCACGTTCCAAGAGGCCCGAATTCACATCAGAGCTCAGCCTCTAGTGCCTTAGGCAAGTCAAATAACCCGCTTGAGCCTCATTTCCTCATCTGTAAAGGGGGGTGATAACAGTGCCTTCTTTGTAATGCACTTAGTCTTGAGTTAGCGCACAGAAGAGACTCACTACAGTGAGTTATGATTATCGCCACTGTTGTGCAGTCAGGGAGAGAGTCAGAGTAATCAGCCACAGGCTGGGAAGAGCCACCCCGGGGAAAGAGGATGCGATGAATTCCCATCTGGGTAGGGGTTTCAGTGTTGCTTCTGGAGTCTCCAACTTCCTGCCTGAAGGAGTGCTTTGTGTTCCTTCCGCCAAGTTCTACACCTTCAGGCAAAGCACTTCCCAGCCTCTAGTCTATTAAAGGCGGGCAATGACTTTTACCCCATAGCACAGTGGAACTCGAACTCTGGCCAGTGTCAGAACCACCTGGAGAACTTGGTCAAAATGCAAAGGCCCAGATTCCCCATACTTCAGTGAGTCAGTGTCTCTCTGTGCCTTATCTCCTTCCCAGATGATTCTGATACACGCTAGCTTTCAGAAGAGCCATCAAAGAGTGAAAGAAACAAGGCCCTCAGTTTACTCTAAAGGGTCATAAAAGATGCTTATCATTATTTAAATCCCATTCGTTCCACCCACCAGGGCAATGGCAAGTGAGGAGGCTGTGCTCACGTAAGTGCCGTGGGTTCCGACACAAGGAAGGCTGGGCCTGCAGCTCAGTGGCCAGGGGGGGATGACAAGCACAGGCCCCAGGGTACTCAGTGTTTCAGAAGTCCCCTACAAACTAGCACCCATTTCACAAAGTTGGGAGAGAGAGAAGCAATACCTTTCCCAGGGTCACAGCAGCCTCATGGTAAGAGCCACAGCAGAACCAAGAGCTACAGATGCCTGGACCAGTGTTAAAGGGCTTGCTTTGGGGGCCCCCACCTGGATGGGGCCCTCTTGCCTGCTGACAGGTGGTATGGCAAGCTGGATGTCTGCAGGCAGTGCTCTGTGAGTTTCCTTGTGGCTGATGATGTCTGGGAAGGGCCCCAGCAAATTCCCATATTCCAGCAAAGGTCTGAAGATTAACTCAGGCTTCTCACAACCTGGGGAGGAAAACAGGACCTAGCCCCATATCTAAATATCTCAAGCTCCTTGACAATCTTGTTCATCCATCTTGTTGCCTAAGCGGGAACAAAGATCTGTTGGTGAGATGAGAGCTGAGATTAGAATCAAATTATAGAATCTCGTGCTGCGAATGAGCAGACCCGAGGATGAAGCCTGCCGCCCCACAGACCAGGAATGCTGCCACGTAATGCTGCCAGACGAGTGAAGAGAGGACGTTTCTTAAACCACAGCAAGTGTCTCAGTTGATTCAGGGCAAGAAACTCACAGGGTGGGGCCAGGATTCAAACCAGGAGGTCACTGTGGTGGTCACAGCCACAGGCTTCAGAGACAGAAAGATCTGGCTAGGGTAGATTTGGGGCTCTGCCAAAGATTAGCAGTGACCTCGGGCAAGCTATTCTATACCTCCCTAAGCCTCAGTTTCCACATCTGTAAAAACAGAATGACAATGCTACCCAGAGAAGTGGCCAGGCTTTTTGGAGCCTGAAGCTTATACCCCTTGGGTGGGGGTGGGGGGTGCCGATAAGGGGTGGAGAGGGCCTCTTTAAGAAAAGGAATACAAAATTACAAATTCAAAATTGCATACAGGACCTTGGAAGGGGTCCCACCTAAGGGAGGGGCCAGACAAATCTGTCTTGGATGCTACCAGTTAGCTGAGAGACCATTGGAGTAAAGCCCTTGGCACATGAGATGGTGGTATGAAGAGTGGTCTGGCTTGACTAAAATGCTATAATTTTGAGGAAGGAGGAAATCTTGGCCCGTTCATCTGTCACTGAAGCAGAGATAATGACAGAGAATGAAACACTAGAGAAACCCCCGAAAGGCCTTCTTTAGCTGCAGAATTCTATCCTGAATATCACGTGCGACCTTAGGCAAATCACGTGCTTTTCTGGTGGCAGTGTCCTACCCAGTGAAATGTGGCTTGTACAATCTCTGCCCTTTTCCCAAAGAACCCCCACTGCTTTCTCCCTGGAGCCTCACAAAAGCTAAGAAGCAGCTAGAGGTGAGTGAGGGCTTGCTCCTTTCCCCCCCAACTTTTCCCAGGGAAGGGGATCTCCCGGAAGGATGCCTTATAACAGATGTCAGCCAGTGGGAAGTGGAGCCCCTGACCTGGGATGAATAAGGAGATGGGGTATGGAGGTATTCTCTTGGAGACAAAAATAGGGTATTAGTTAAAAAGCCTGCCGAGTTGGGCACTGGTCCCTACTCTATCACTTTCTAGCTGTGTGACCTTGGGCAGGTCCCTTTAGTCCAGAGTTTGATTTCCTCATTATTTAATTTATAGGATTAAATGAGAAAAAAAGGTAAAGCGCTCAGGAGAACGTCTGTCTCTTAGTGAAGTGCCTCATACATGTTAGTTAAGAAAATGATGGGTATTGTAGTCACTGCTATTAGGTGAAGTGGATGACTCCCCTCTCAAACCCCTTCCTGCCTCTCCTGCTCCAGCTTCTCTTGCACAGAGCTTCTTCTCTGGCAGGAGGAGCATACTCTCCGAGGGAGGTAGGCGGGGCCTCATTCCAGCTCGGCCAGAGCGAGGCACAAGCTGCTGAGCTGGGGTTTGCACCTGACGGACACCTTCCTGCTTGCCTCCTTCCAGAGCAGGCCTCCTCAACACCCAGAGCCCTCTCTCGGAAGCAGTCATGCCTGTGACAAAGAGTGCTGGGGGCCCCCAGGGCACTGTTGACCTCAAACTGGACCTCAGGTCCCCTCCCAAAAGTGCCAAGAAGCTGCAAAACAAGGACTCCAGTTTCTGGGATGGACCCCCTTCCGAGTCACCAGGCTTAGAGAAGACCAAGGGCATAACGTGAGTGCTTTTTTCTGCCACCCCCATTTCTGCCTCCAAGCCTGCAAGCTTGCACTGACTAAAACCCTGGCGCGGCGTGTCTGACCCCCATCCCATTATGCAGATGGGAAAACCAAGGTCAAAAAAAGTGCAGGCAGAGACTGAGTCAAGGTGAGAGCTTACAGGGGCAGGAGCAGAGACTCCAGAAAGCCCTAGGCTCTCATGGTCCCACACTCAACAGGTGCAGATGGGGACACTCAGGCCCACTTACCCCAGGCCACGCACTGGGTCATTGGCAGGATGGGCGCTGGAACCCAGTGCTGGCCCTAAGTCAGTTTTGTTGCTGGTCAGTCCTGATCATTGGCAGAATCCCTAACTTCTCCAAGGAGGTGAGATCTGAGCTTAAAACCTTGGCCTCACTGACAACCAGGCATTGACTCCTCTCTGCCTCCTTCCTCCAGTTACTCTGGCCTCGCCTTGGGCCTGAACTTCAACTGTGAGGACATCAAAAGCACAGCATGTGGAAGACTTTTCTCCCACCTCCCTGGGGTGTGTGTGGGGGTTGGGGAGGCTTGCAAACCATGGCCAGGAAGGGTCTGCAGAAGGAGTTTAGGTGGGGGAGCCACGCTACGGGCGGGGCTCAGCAGCCTCCGCCTGCACCGATGGAGCAGAGAGGCCAGTTTACTTAGGACATGTGGGTGGGTGGCCTGCTGGAGCGTGCTGCTCCTTTAAGAAGAAAATGCGGACAGCACTGGTATGGTAGAGAGAACACCTGCACTCAACTAGTGATCTGCACCTTCCCTTCCCCCAGCCTCGGTGTCCCCCAGATGCAAAACAGGGGTAAACAGATGGCAATGCGAATTTAAAGAGGCTGCCTGTGGGCATTACATCTGTTGGGTGGGGATGTGCAGTTAGGAGGGAGATGTTACCACAAGGGCAGGCGAAGTTCTGTTGGTCAGCGCCAGGATGGCCCCGACAGGGTTCGGTTGCCCCCAGGGACTAGTCCTGGGGGCTGTGAATTGCTGACACTGAGAATGAACTCTCCAGGCCTTGGGGTCATCCACTGAGGAGCAGGGCTATTTCTCGATCAGAGGCCTGGGGGGAACCGAATAGCTCTCGTGTCCTAAACTGACAACGTGGTTTGGTGGCAATTTCAACTACTTAAGAATCAGACATAAAGCATGAGAGAACTAGAGGGGCCCTCCCGGTTTGGAGCAGAAGAGAAGTAAGTTGGGCAAGCATGGAACTCGGGTCAGCTCACCTGGGTCCAGATGCCCATTTAGCTGCTAACTGGCTCGAGCAAGTGCAGAACTCTACCCCAGTTTCTCCTCTGTGAAATGAGATTTCACTCCTCCCAGGATGGCTGCAAAGGTGATTTGTGCATAAAGCCCCCAAACACAGCACCCTTAAAAGCTGGCCACTGCGAATACCTTGAAGGTCCAAGGTCACCAGAGGAGTTGGGGCTAGAACACCGATGTCCTGCCTCCCAGCCCAGTGCTGTGCCCAGCTCACCACACTAAGTTTTTACGTTTGGCTGCATGGCCCAAAGTTAAATTCTGATTTCTTAAGTCCTTTGGTTAGAAATTTCTAAAGTGACCTGTTGACCCTTTCCTTGTTGCAAAACAAGCCCATTATTGGAGGGCCGTAGGGCACAAGTGCTTGCTCAGCGATGTTGACACCCACAGGGAGAGAGAAGGGCACGCGATTCTCCGCCCACTTTCTCCCTCAATTGTTCTCTTTAACCCATAACAAATCAATGGGCCGATGGGCTGATCCTTCTGAAAGCTAGAGGATCTAGGGATTAACATAAAGATAAGGGTGGTTGGGGCAATTCTTTCAAAATATCATTCCTCCCAACATTTACAGAGGCTCAGCAAAGTAGACCTGTTGCCCAAGATGACACAGCTAGTTAAGTGGTGGCCTTGGGATTTAATCTCTGGTTCATCCAACCTCAGAGACCAGGCTCCTTCCAGAATACCTCTGGTGCCCCTCACAGTCAGTGTCCTCACTGAAAGGCTCACCCAGGGAATTTCCAGTGTTTCAAAAGTTGTGGATGTGAACCCAACACTCACCTTGGTCGAACCTGGTCCAGGTACAAAGAGGTATAGTAATAAGTTGTTCTGTAATTCATCAACACAGAGGGTACCTGCCTGGAACTTATCCCTGAAGGTGCCCTTCAGACCACCTTCCCATCTGTCTTAAAGAGGGGGTCTCAGTTTTTATTTTTGTTTTTTTGGAGGGTGGGAAGAGACCTGCCTTTCCCCAGCTTGAGGTCCTGGCCTGAGGGCCCAAAAAATTCCTCTGGAGCCCAATCCCCAAATGACCCTGTCTCAACAGATCCCATCTGGGGACCCAAGTCATCTGACCTATTTAATTCAGAAGTCACCATGAAGTGTCTAAAGTGTCTTTGCTGCTGGCCCTTTTCCCTTTTCTCTGAGTGTATCCTGTCTCACCTACTAGTTTTATGACCTTGGGCCATCCCCTTTCTGAGCTTCCATTTCCTTCGTTACAAAATGGGATTTTTCCTTTTATATATCTCTCTCGACCTATTACCAGGAGGTGGTCCAGTAGAAATGGGGTGAAGAACAGGGACTCTGAGGCATTTCTGGGTTCAAATCCCGACTCCCCAGTATATCTTTGGACAAGTTATTTAAAAAAAAAAAATCTCTATGCCTCAGTTTCCTCATCAGCAAAATAAAGGCAATAACCTACTTCCTAATCTTGACGAGAGGATTAAATGAGGTAATACGGGTAAAGTACTTAGCATAGTATCTATTATATAGTAAATATTAGCATGGCATATATTGAGTGTTAGCTGCTAAAACCAGGACAGGCAAACTGAAATGGTTGGTCACCCTACAGGAGACCCAGAGGTGCCGATCAAGGTCACAGGGACTGAGAGATGGCCAGGAGCCCACCTATCCAGCTGAACTCAGGTGTTGGCATGCTGTGAGGGAATGCTGGTTGGACCTCCTCACCTTCACGCACCTACACCCTTATGTCTCTTTCCTCTCCTTTAGAGCGTTCCAGACCTTGGTTCACCTGGTGAAAGGCAACATGGGTACAGGGATCCTCGGGCTACCCCTGGCTGTGAAGAATGCGGGCATCCTGGTAAGAGGGGCTGCTGCAGGTGGGGCCAGCATGGCCGAGTTGTAGCAGGGAAGTAGGAGGAGAGCCTCTCAGAGTTTATAATGGCTTACAAGAAGCAGTCTTTCTAGGAGGCAGCTTGGTCCAGACTTGGAGTCTAGATATCTAGCCAGGGTTTGAGTTCCGGCTCTGCCACAGACATTGAGTGGCCCTGGCAGGTCATTTGTCCCTTCCCTGGGGCTCAGTTTTTCCTTTGGAGAATGCAGGGGTTGGATGATGATGAGTTTTCCTCTTGTGCCCTGTGAGGCACTAGTCCTCAGGGACACCTCAGAGGCCACTATGGGTCAGAATCCTGAGTCCCCCACTCCCACCACAGCACCCATTGTAATTGCTTTATGTACTTTGTTGGAGTACTACTTGAGACTATATTTGAAAGAATAGGTATTGCTGCCAAAAAGGACTTGCAAAGCAGTTTGCTAGAAAGCTCCTTGAGTGCCAAATGGTATCTGTGCTACCAAATCTGTCCTTGCATGTTCTTCATAAATCCATTCTCTTCTCTCTCCCCACTTCCCTTGGCTCCCCCTTCCCTCAGATGGGCCCGCTCAGTTTGCTGGCCATGGGCTTCATCGCTTGCCACTGTATGCATATCCTGGTCAGGTGTGCCCAGCGCTTCTGCCACAGGTGAGGAAAACAGCATCCTCGTGTCGATTGCTTTGGTACTTGGTTCTCAGGGATGTCCCAGAAACATCCTACATGAAACAAGAGCTTACTTCTTTCTTCCAACAAGGCTAAGAAAAAGAGAAAAAGCATTTGGGATAGGGACCTAAGATGAGGCTCTGCCATGTGACTCATTAGGTGATCTCAGTCAGGCCACTGTGATGATCTGCTTGGCTCCTCTGTAAATTGGGCATAAACAATCCATGCCTAACCCTGCCTCAGAGAATTGTGATGAGAACCCATTGGGATCATGGATACGAAAACTGCTGTGCCCATGTGAGGTGTGCTTTATTGCCCTGCTTATATAGGAACCACCCCACAGGAAATACTGCCAGGTGTCTAAGTCTGAACTAGAACTTGGGTCTCTGCCCCAGTGTTCTTTCTACTCCCCTGGGTCCTGCCTTGCTGTGTGTCTCCTGACTTTTTAGTACAGGATCTGAGGTTAAACCCTCTCTTGGTAACTCTGTGTGCACTTTCTCCTACAGGCTTAACAAGCCCTTCATGGATTATGGCGACACGGTGATGCACGGCCTGGAAGCCAGCCCCAGTGCCTGGCTCCAGACCCATGCCCACTGGGGAAGGTACCTTGTTCTTGCTCTGCTGGAAGTGGAGTGAGCTACTGGAGGTGGAAATGCGGCTTTCAGGGATGCCTTCTTCCCTGGAAAGCTGACTCGTGTGGCACAGAATGTTGGGCTTTCCACAGGGAAGGGGTTCACTGGCAACCTTCCTGACCCAGCCCCCCTCCTTGTATACCTCCAGTGACAGCATGCTCATTCCTTGTTATGCAGCTTTAATATTATTGACTTATTTATGAAACTGTATTTATCCTGTTGTACTATGTACCAGGCCCTGGAAATACTGTGGGGAGCAAGGCAAACAGGCTTTGCTCTCACAGAGCCCATAATCCAGTGGGAAAGACAAGCATTACACAGTTTAGGAGATAGTCATTCATAACCACTAGGATGAGTGTGATGAAGGAAGGAAATACTAGTTGCTACTGAGCAGGTAAGGTGATGTGTGTGGGCTCATGTGGTCTTCCTAGGTTGGAACAGTTGAGATGAGCCCTGAAGGAAGGAATTCTTTTTTTTTTTTTTTTTTTTTGAGGTGTAATGCAACTTCATCACTTTATTCAAATCTTCAAAATAGTCTTTATTCTACATTTTTAGTATAAAAAATCCACAAGTTAAGTGCACCACAGTGTCGAGAGAGACATACAACGCTGAACTTCCATAACAGTCAATGGTACAGTCAAGCATCACATGGACAGAACACAAAATTTAGATGAACTGAAATTATAAAATAAGATAAAATCCAATTTCAGAAAACAAAAATCAAAATATTAAGGATCCCTGAAATATTCTTAACCCTAATGAGATTTCACTGGACTCAAGTCATTTTGTAGTGAGGGATTCATAACATGACCCCATTAACCCAGCTGAGGAATTCTCAAGAGCCATGAGGGCTTACATCAGGTACTCTGACAATCAACAGTAACCAATTTTTGGATGGGAAAACTTCCCCTAATTTGGCTCTGACGTCATCAGGCTTTTGAAATGCATCCTCCTCCTTGCCCCCACATTTTAAACAAACCTGTTTATAGTACAGTTTGCATTGATACCCTTTGTTCAAATAGAGCTCTGTTTTTCTGGCACCGAAGCAAATTGGGGTTTGGTTCATGGATAAAGAAACAACCTATGAGGAGGGTCCAAGAGGCACCCTCCACTTTTGCCTGAGGAGATGCAAAAGCAGAAGTAATGGGGCCTGTGCTTGGGGCACAGAGGGGGTTTCAGAGGATCCTTGTGAAAGATCAGTTAAAAGATGGCAAGTGGGACAAGTGCAAGGAGAGAAGGGAGTTAGTCTGACTGGCTTTCTGTCCTGCACCATTGATTCAATGGAGATTGGCGGGAAGGAACTGGAAGAGACTAGAGGTGAGGGTGGGACATGGGGCAAAGGATGGAAAGGAGGGAAAGGCAGACAACTAATGCGTTTCATTTATAACAAGTAATAGAAATCAAAGACTTAAAGGAGATTAAAGACCAATCAGAATAATTTGGCAACTTTAATTCTTAGGAAGATCAAAGTTCCCTCCAAACCTAATTTGATGTTTTATTAACTAAGAGCAAAGACCAGTATGGTACAGTATTACTCCAGAGGAATTAAAGGAAGATCCTTAGGGCTGCTTTACCCACATTCATTTTATGAATGGATGCCTCCCCTACCTCAAAATGCTTTAAGGAGGTACTGCTACCATTACATGGTTCCTTATTAAGTTTGAAAAGTGCCTGAAAGTTTGGGCACCAGAAAGACACCCCAACAACATGTGTCTAAACTGCAACTTCAGGTTAATAGGACTAAAGCAGTTACATTGTGAGAAGTGCTGAAGGTATGTGATGTCTTTCCCGTCACAGAGGCGGCCTTGGTTCTTCACCAGATGGTGTAGCCACCATCTGAGCCACCCATGAAGAAGCTTCCCTTCCGCTGAGTTACGAGGACATTGGCTCCCTGCATGGCTGCAAGCTGAGCAGCATTGGGAGGGCATCCAGGGGGTGGAGGAGGAATGTTGCCAGCGGTAGCCCCAGCTCGAAATCTGGCACCTGCATCATACCCTCCTTCCACCAGCACTGCTGAACCAGGTGGATAGATGGCACCAACTGGATAATAAGCCATAGGGATTGTGGAACCTAAAGGTCCAACAGCCACAGATTAGGCCATGGGAAGGTACAGTGAGGCGCCAGGAAATGCAGCTGACATGGTGGGGACTGTGGCAGCCCCTGGGTGCACAAAGCTCGGACGGTAGAGCTCTGAGTAGGCAGGTGGAGCATCAGTATAGGGTGGAGCCTGAGGAAGATGCAAGGTCTGAGGGTACACTGGATTCCCAGGAGGCTGCACAGGGTAGGTTGGCTGCGTTGGATATTGACCTTTGCTGTTCATGGTGGCTGCTGGTCCGGTTCGGCTCGGCGTCGCGGACGGTTATTTTTTTCGTCCTCTTCCTGTTCTTAGTCACTTCCGTGTCCGGAAGGAATTCTTAAGAATAAGGAATTACCTAGGGGAAAGTGGGCAGCCTGGATGGCCTTCCAGGAAGATGGAAGAACAGAGCATGAAGGTCTGAAGCAAGATGGAATGCGTGACAGTTTCAAGGTACAGAACGACAGGGAGCTTGAGGGCATAGTCAAGGAGATGAGGCTGAAGAAGAATCCAGGGGTCCAAGCAAACTGTACACTTTAGACCCTCCTAAAGGTTTTTGTTTTTTTCTTTAAAACAACAAGGAAGCCACTGGAGGGTTTTAATCAGGCAAGTGATCATACTTGTATTGTTTAAAGATCTCTCTGGCTTCTGTTAGGAGAATACATGGTAAGTGAGCAATCGTAGATTAGGTCAGACCCAGGGAGGGGGCTATTGGCAACATCCAGGCAGATAGCAATGACACCTGGGACCAAGCTGGTAGCAGTGGGGATGGAGAAAAGTGAATTTGGTTATGCTTTGGATCCCAGGACTGTGCGAAAAAGAAAAGTCAAGGTTGACTCAGATTTCTGATGACTTTTAGTTTAGACAAGTTGGGTTTGAGGTTCAAGTGGAGATGTCAAGTGGGTAGTGATATGTATAGGTTTGAACCTATCTTCATGCAGGACATACAGAACTGACATCATCAGCCATGAAGCCAGGGAGCAGAAGACGTCCCTTAGGGAGAGAGTTTATAGTAAGAAAAGTGTATTTTAGAAAAGGCACACACACACACAAGACCTTAAGGACACTTTGCTGAACTGACGTCCTCCTCCTGCAAACTGCTGCCTTTTGCTTTCCAGACTGACACAGAACAAGTCAACCCCCTCCATCCTCGGTACTTGGAACTAAATCTGCTCTTTTGTCTTTGTTTTCAGGCCTGTGCCCACTCCATCTGCCTACTCTTTTCTGAGTACCATCTAGGTCAAAGTCTCTCTTGAATCGTGATACTCTGAACCATTACAGCCCTGCTGTGTGCCCTCTCACGAAATGTAGTTTGCAGAGCATCATGGCTCTGGCACCTCCCTTGGCCCAAAGCCCATTCACATACTGAATCAATAAATTGAGCCTCTGAGCAGACGAAGAAGGCTTTGGGACGATAACCAGTATTTTCCCAGTGTGTGACCCAAGAGGAGGCTTTGCCTGTCCCTTACTCCTCAAATCCTTCTACCCATCGTTGGACATAGAAAGCAGCTTTTCCTGCTCTTTTTAGGGACCTTGCTCCACTAATCATCTCCTCTCCTATAACTTGAACTTCTTTTTGGATCTGTGGGCTCTTCTTCTCAACAATTAAATGCATTCATGTGTCTCCATCTTAAAAAATAGTAATATAAACTCATGAAGTTTCCTGGACCTCACACCGTCCTTTAGCCGCTATCCAATCTTCTGTTCAGCAGCTGCTTATTCGACAGATATCTATTGAATACCTGCAGTGTGTCAGGATGTGTCATGGCAATGGGTCTACAATGATGACCAGAATGGGCACCATCAAGACTGGAGCTCACACTTAGTTCTGTGAAAGAACAGCACACCCTCTGACTTTACTTCCATTCATCTGGTTCACACCTCTTCCGTGGGTCACCTGGCTTTTCTGTCCTTAGAATTCTGTTGAAGGTCTTTCCACCAATGTCCTAAAAGACCTCCTTATTGCACCTTCTTTGCCCTAGAGAACCTCTCAACAGTGTGGGTACAATGAACTATTCTCTTCTCCAGATGTTTTCTCCTCCCTTGGCTTCTATTAAACCCTTCCCCCGCCCCTAGTTTCCCACCTACCTCTCTGGCCAGTCCTTGGCTTTCATTGCAGGCTCCTTTGTTCCTGTCTTCCCTTTAAATGTTGGTGTTCTCTAGGGTTGGAACACCATCTTCTCTTCTTCTCCCTCTGCACACTCCCCAACACTGACCTGCCTTCCCAAGGCTTTATCCATTTCTGACAAATCAATGTTCCAGACCCTCGTACACAGTCGTCTCCTGAATGTCTCCTATAGGAGCCTCAGCCTCAACAATTCAGATACTGAATGTGTCACTTCTTCACCTTCCCCTAAAACCTGTTCCTTCCTTCCAGTTCATTTTGTTGTCCTAGCCAAAGCCTGTAGGAACCTTTGATCATTGCCTTTCCCTTTCCCCCACATGTTAGTGGTGACCAAGTTCGGTTAAGTTCTAGCTCCCTAGTATCTCTTAAATTGCTTTCATTCTCTCCTCCTAATGACTTTTGTCCAGGCTGCTGGACACCTCTGTTGTTTTAAGAATCTGCTATGCGGCCTACCCATCCTGAGTCTTGCCCCCTCCAGTGGATTCCCCACAGCCAGAGAAATCTGCCTAATCCCTCTGCTGAAATGCTTTCCTCACTCCTCTCCATGTTCTCCTCCTCGTCTTTTTAAAAATTTCTTTCTTCCCCTTCCCAAGGGACTCCTCCTCAGGTATTGGTTTTTCTATGAAGGCTATCTGCTCTATAATTAGGATAAAATATCCTTTTCACTGTGGCTCTTAGTGCCATATTCTTTTTTGGTCACTAATCTATGAACCACTCGAGGAGGGGACCATGTGTTATTTGTATTTCCTCAGAGCCTAATACGGTGTCTGGCACATGGTAGAACAAATTTTCATGTTAATGATAGCTAATAAAAATGGTGTGCTTACTTCCCTACATCAATTAGTATCAATTATGAGAAATGCCGCAGAGCCAGGTGTGGGGGGAGGTTCCCAACCATAAATAATTCCTCCACTTGCTGAGCTGGGAGTGTGAGGGTGGTTGAGAAACACTTTTTTTTTTTTTTAAAGAACTGTTGTTACCTCACTTCTTACTGCCCCATTGGTGATTGTGTTAGCAGAAGCAAGGGTGCTGGTACAGGGTCACCAACCCCTGGGGACAGAAATAGAAATGACAAACCAACTCTTCTTTTATAACATGTTTTCTTTCTCTCTCCTCTCTTCCAGGAATATCGTGAGCTTCTTCCTTATAGTCACCCAGCTGGGCTTCTGCTGTGTGTACATTGTGTTTCTGGCTGATAATTTAAAACAGGTAGAGTCGTCTAGAGAAGGTGGAAAGGGAAAGGACATGGAAAAGGAGGGTCCTCTGTGAGTTGTTCAGCAATTGTGGCTTCTTCTTTTGGGCTCCTAGTGTCCTCAACAGTACAATAAAGGAAGTTAAACTAGATGTTATGAAAGAATCCAGACTTCCCCAGTTTGCCTATCTGTTCTACAAGTGGTTACCTTTTCCAGTATCTTGGACCTTTTCGCAAAGCCGGTCTCTAAAACTGAGCTGGAAGAAACCTTGGATTTTTGTCAGTTGTCCTGCCTTGGAGTTTAATCATCCTTAACTCTCCTAAGACTGATATGGCTCTTTTTAGATGATACTTAATCTTTGGACCATCTTTATCTACCTTTAGCTGTTTAACCTCTGGTTTAACAGTGGTCTCCAGGAAGTTGTTTTGATCTAGCCCAGAAATTATCTTGTAGCAATTTAAGCAAAATATTGTAGGTAATGACAAAGGCCATCCTTAGTCAATCAGTGAGCTTAAAAAAGAAATTATTCTTTAGGGCTCTCTTTTTTTTTCCCCCGCTTATAGTAATAACCAGAAATTTAGAAATGTAAAGAAATTAGAAGGAAAAAAATAGCATGCATTCAGAGTTAGCTGCTATTCTATGTTAGGAACAGGGAGTATTATATATGCTTTCTCCCATTTAATTCTCTCTGTGGCCTTATCACTATAGGTACTGTGGTTATTCCTATTTTGCAGATGAGAAAACTGAAGCTATAAACTCTATAATGTATAGAAGATCACAGAGCCAAGGTTAAAAATCCAGGCCTTTTCAACATCAGAGCTCAAGTTCTTGAACACTATGCTATATTACTTTTCAAAATGAAACAAAATTGGGGCACCTGGGTGGCCCAGATGGGTAAACATCTGACTCTTGATCTCAGCTCATGTCTTGATCTCAGGGTCGTGAGTCAAACCCCACATTGGACTCCATGCTGGGCATGGAGCCTACTTAAAAAGTTAAGAAGAAAGGAAGGAAGGAAGGAAGAAAGAAAAAATGATTATTAATTCAACCACTCGTGGTTATTATTTTAAGTTGGTATTAACTGGTTAGCATTTTGTAATGTCCTTACATTTTTTTTTTGTCCTTACATTTTTTAATGTAATTTTTACCAGCTTCATAATATTTAATCATACAGATTGGCCAGGACATAGTCTTCTCTTGTTGGATATTTTATTTGTTTCCTTTTGTTTTTCTACTATAATCCGTGGAGGTCTTTGTACACCCCTTTATTTTTTTGGCATATATTCCTTAAAGTAAAATTACTGGGTCAAAGAGTTTGATTGTGGGGTGCCTGGGTGGCTTAGTCGTTAAGCATCTGCCTTCAGCTCAGGTCATGATCCCAGGGTTCTGGGATTGAGCCCCAGGTCGGGCTCCATGCTAGGCAGGAAGCCTGCTTCTCCTTCTCCCACTTCCCCTGCTTGTGTTCCTGCTCTTTCTATCTCTCTTTGTCAAATAAATAAATATAATCTTTAAAAACAAACAAACAACAACAAAAACAAAGTGTTTGATTGTTTGAAGGCTCTTAAACATGGCCAGATTGCCACTTGGAAATCAATCAGCTATCAACAGAACATTATCATCTGTCTAGAGATAAGGCAAGCATTCTCTCTAAGAGTTTGCAGGCTAAGTAGGATGTGTTCTAAAACAAACAGGTTAGCTCTCAATATATTTTGGTGCTGGGTCAGGACACCACTAACAACTCTCTGAAGGCAGGGCCGCTTCATGGTGAACTTAAGGGGCAAAAATGTGTGGGGGCAGGAAAGATCATTGCAGCAAGAGAAAGCTCCCTTGCAGAGATGCATCTGAGCTGGGTGTTGAAGGACAGGTTCGAGAAGAAGGGGTGGCAGCCAAGAAGGGAGGAGTGAACACTGGAGGCAGGAATGTACAGGCCTGGCTCCGGAGAGGCAATAAAATTGGTTGTAGAAGGTGTGGACTTTGGGAGAGGAAGAGCCTTCAAGGTTGAATGGGGCCCATGATGGAGGGCCATGAATGCCTGCTAATGTTTCAAATACTTTTCCTATTGAAAGAAATCAGAAGGTGAGGAATCAGAAAAAAAATAAGACTTAATGGTTCATTTAAGTAATCTTGGTATGTTAAGTGAAAAGGAGATTTCAAAATAAGAGTATATGCTGCGATTGCAATCTTGTAAAAAAAAAAAAAAGATGAGTATAATACATGTAATTTGTGATATGGTATAGAAAATGCATAGATGAATATATTCCAGGACATCACCCTGGCTACCAATGCGTACTGAGATCATCATTGTTTTTACATCTTCTTCTTGCCTCATATTCTAGTCTCTAATTGTTCTGCAGTGGATTGTTCCGCAATGTTCCGCAATACTGCTTGCACAGTAAGACTACCCATTAAGTCAGGCTGATTCTGAACAAGGGTAGTACCATCCCTCTCCTCCCCCTCCCCCCTGACTTTGCCAGGGGGTGTTTGTACTGTGTGCAGGGGGGTGTTTCTTGTTTGTCACAGTGATTGGGGGATGCAAATAGCTCTTATTGGGTGGGGTCCAGGGATGCTAAATGTCCTGCAGTGAATGGTCCAGTCCTCATAAGGAATAATTCTCTCACTCAAATGACAGTGTGAGTCTGATTGAGAAACAGTAAGTGATGAGTTTTTTGGTTATAAGCAAAAGAAACTCTGACTAACTCATTGTGAGGCCCTGGCGTGTGAGACATGCTTTTTGTGAGGGAGTTTATGGGCCAGGCACTAAGCAAATCCTGTGGCCAGTAGATGTATTGAATCTTCCCCTCTTGCTTTTCCTGTTCCTTCCTCAGGTAGTGGAAGCAGTTAATGGGACCACCAACAACTGCCATTACAACGAGACAGTGTTTCTCACGCCCACCATGGACTCGCGACTCTACATGCTCTCCTTCCTGCCCTTCCTGGTGCTGCTGGTCCTCATCCGGAACCTCCGGGTCTTGACCATCTTCTCTTTGTTGGCCAACATCAGTATGCTGGTTAGCTTGATCATCATCACCCAGTACATCGTCCAGGTTAGTGCACATGACGCACCCGACTCCTCCAGTGAGCAAAGCCTCACTGTCAATACTAGACTGATACCTACCTAGGGCCAGCCCTGAGGGTAGGTGTGTACCTCACTCTTCAGCCTCGTGCCGTTGTACCATTATTTCCACAAAGATGTCTCTGTGCCATCTCATTCTTCTGCATAGGTCCTCTTTTATGTTGCTGCTCCAGTCCTTGTCAAATTCTGGCCTTTGAAAAAAATGTTGCTTTGCAAGGAAAACATCTTGATGGGTGAACCACAGACCATTCCTGTAATGGTTGTATAGCAGCGAAGGGCAAATGAAAAGCAGGATCTCCTACAAAGCTGAAACTTACCAATTCCCTATAGTCTTACATCCTCTAGGCTGCAATTCCAGGTGTCCAAAATTACCCATAGGAACTCAAGAGAAAAAAATAATAATACTTAGTCACAAAGGCATAGTCTCAGAAGACCACAAGCAAATATATCACAGTGCAAATTACAACGCCTTCAAGGTTGAGTTGTGGATATTGATTTTCCCTCAATATCCTACTTTTCTATCCTTTCTAATGTTTATTTACTGGACAAGACTACATAGAAATTTAAACCCAGAAGGCCCTTGACATATCTCTCATATCATTCAGATATTTTTATATTTCAGAAGTCACATGAAAAGTTACTGTGTCCATGGAATTTAGTAAAAATTACATATTAGTCAAGTATTTTAGGATAACTACAAATAGGTCTTATCTTCCTTAAGGCAACATCGATAAATTCTACAAAATTGAATTTCCTAATAAGATAGCTACCTTTGATTCATTTTTGGACCATTCTTGAAGTTGCGCAATTAGAGAAATGGCTCTGTAATTATTGTCACATTCAGGTCACAGGGTACATAAGATATTTTTTCCACATACTTTCTTTCCCTTCAGTTTATAGCTCATTGAAGAAAGGGGGACTTTCATATCTAACGAATTACTCTGGACTCCCAAGAATATCACTAACTACAGTCAACAGCAATTTCTGTCACCCATAATCACTGGTACATTCCAATTGTCCGTGGGCACTTCAGGCAGGTACCAACCTGTGATGCATGAGATTTTCTTTTGGAGGATTCTGGTAAACCGTATTCCCCCCATGAGGTATTCAGTACTTGGACAATACCTCAATGTTTCTGTCCTCTGGCTCTTCGGTGTTGTATGTGTTAAAATCAACTTTGATGCCTACTTCCTTTTGAAGTTTTCCGAATTTCTTGACATTCCTTTTTTTTTTTTTTAATTTAGGTCTACTCTCAGAATACTCCCCTTTTATTTTTATTTTATTTATTTATTTATTTTAAAGATTTTATTTATTTATTTGACAGAGAGAGACTTAGCGAGAGCAGGAACACAAGCAGGGGGAGTGGGAGAGGGAGAAGCAGGCTCCCCGCAGAGCAGGGAGCCTGATGTGGGACTTGATCCCAGGACCCTGGGATCATGACCTGAGCCGAAGGCAGACGCTTAAGGACTGAGCCACTCAGCTGCCCCAGAATACTCCCCTTTTAAATGAACTGAAACGTGCTCTGAGAATTAAGGTCTTACTACATTTCTCTCTCCTGTAGGAAATTCCAGACCCCAGCCGGTTGCCACTGATAGCAAGTTGGAAGACCTACCCTCTTTTCTTTGGAACAGCCATCTTTTCATTTGAAAGCATTGGTGTGGTAAGGTTTGCATTGGGGTGATCTTTCCCCCGTGCTGTGGGTGGCCTTTTGAACAGGATCCAGGAACTCTAGGTTTCTGGGTTTCTGTGTGCACACAGGGGAGAGTAACCTCTTGTCCCAATACATCTATTAAACATTTATCTTCATACCAACATGTGTTTCCTAATCTTTTAAAATCAAGACAAGTGGAGGCATACAATTTACAGGATTTAATGAAACAAACAAAAGGAGTTTTAAGCTGGGAAGTACTATATATTTACAATGGATTATTACATAGTTTGTGTTTCCACACTTGAGGAAGGATAGTGCTGTGTATGTGATGTTATTTTACTTTAAATTTGCATACAGTACAATTCACTTCGGTGGGAGGAGTGTATACATTTCTGTAAGTTTTGGAAATGCATAGAATCATAGATAGGCCACAATCAGGATACAGAACAGCTCCCTCACCACCAAAAACTCCCTTGTGCTGTCCCATTGTAGTCAGCTCCTCACCTCCCACTAACCCCTGGCAACCACCTTCTGTTCTCTGTCTCTATTGTTCTGTCTTTTCCAGAATGTCATATACCTGGGATCATGCAGTATGTAACCTGTTGAGACTGCATGTAAGATCACCTATGTTGTTGCATGCATCATAACTCCTTGCTTTCCATTGCTGAACACCTGCTGAACAGGCAGCACCAGGATTTTTTTATCAGTTCACCTGCTGAAGAACAGGTTGTTTCTAGTTTTCGACAATTATGAATAATGCTGCTATAAGCAAGCATTTGTGTACAGGATTTTATGTGAACATAATGTTTTCATTTCTCTAGGAGTAGATTTGCTAGTCACATATTAATGTATGTTGTTTAACTTTATAACAAACTGCTACACAGGTTTTCATAATGGCTGTACCATTTTGCTTTCCCACTGGAATGGATGAACATTCCAGTTGCTCTCATCGTCGCTAGTTCTTGTATGTCCTGTCGGCATTTTTTTATTCTGCCATTCTAATAGGTTCATAGTAGTGTTTGATTGTGATTTAATTTGCATTTTATTAATGACCAGTGATTTTGAGCATCATTTTGTGGGCTTGTCATCTGTATATCCTCTTTGGTGAAGTATCTGTTCCAATCTTTTGCAAACTTTTAAAAAAACTGAGCTGTTGAGTTTTAAGAATTCTTTATATATTACAAATACAAGTCCTTTATTAGATATATAATTCCAAATATTTTCTGTAGTCTGTAGCTTATCTTTTCATTCTCTTAACAGTGCCTTTCACAGAGCAAAAGTTTTAAATTTGATGAAGTCCAGTATATCAAAATTTTCATTTTATAAACACTTTTAGTGTTTTATCTAAAAACACTTTGCCTAACCCAAGTTCACAAAGATTTCCTCCTGTATTCTTCTAAATATTTTATAGTTTTCATTGTACATTTAGATCTATGATCCATTCTGAGTTAATTTTTGATAAAAGTGTTTGTATGTTGGGGTTCTTTTTTTAATAGGATACCCAATTGTTCCAGCATCATCTGTTGAAAAGACTGCCCATTTTCCATTGAATTGCCTTTGCATCTTTGTAAAAAACGTAACATTATTGTCTTTCAATCCATGAACATGGAATGTCTTTCCATTTATTTGGGTCTTCTTTCATTTCTTTAAACAATGCTTTGATGCTTCACATCATTCCCACACATTCACAACTTAGGGCAGAGCCCAGCACTTCACTTACAGATTTAGGGGATCACTTTCTCCAGCATCCTCCTATCCATGTTTTCTTGCACAGTCACCAGCTTCCAGGGGCTTCTTTTTCTGATTCTCTGGCTAGAAAGCCAGAGTTATAGCCTCCCTATAGTGCTATGCACTTCCTGTGACTGAGTCTGACTGGGGTTAAGCACTGAGAGAAAAGAGAGAAGGAAAAACTAAAATAAAAATGAATGAATGAATGAATGAATGAATGAACGAACGAACTAACAGCGATTCCTTCCAGGGCCTGCTTCATAGACATGCAACTTATGCAGTTACGTAGGGACCTGTCTTTGGAAGGATCCTATTCATGGTTTAATGCTCTGCTTTCATCATCTTGAAATTCTTGATTTTTGAACAAGAAGCATGCAAATGAAAATTCTTTTTGCATAGGACCCTATAAATCATGTAGCAGAGCTGATTTATCCCCACATTCTTTGGACTCCCAAACCCCGTTTCCTAGTTCTTTTGCTCAAAGAGAAAAATTTGTGTCAGATTTTTAGGTGCCTGCATGACCACCACAGTCACTGATAACACCAGGATGCTGCTTTGTGACTTGCCTTGGAAGTGTGGTCTTGAGAGAGTAAAAAAGGGGCCCCCTCCATACTGTCTGTCCCACAGAGGCCTCTGCTTTATGTCTTCTGGCCAGAAAGAGGGTTTCTCTTGGGCTTTTTTCTGTCTCCATCTACTGCATAGGATTCTAGGATTTGAGGTCCTCTTGAGTCTAAATTGGGAGATACAGGAAGAAAAAAAATCAAGAAACCCAGTACCATAATGGTCATTTTTACTGGTTTTGATCAATCCATGTGCTATTTTGTACTTTTCAGAGTCCATGGATAGTTGTTTTATGTATTCTGTCCAGGGCTTTTAGTTTTAATCAGTAAGAGAGCTATGGTGGAATGTGCCTACACCATCTTAATGGAAGTAGAAGCACTTTATATTTAGAATTCTGGATACTCATGGCAAAAAGCAGAGTGCGATGGTTGAACAAATGATTTTGGAAGCAGAATATGCTGGAATCTTACTTTGGCCATGGATTACTCTCTGCACTCTAATTCCCCACTAAATGATGGTAGTGATTGTTCAGTAAGTATTGAACACCTACTATGTGCTAATGATGGTTAGTATCAGAGTTCACATTAGCTCTAGAAACTTCTAGCCCAGTCTCTGAACTTTCCGAAGAGCCTAAGCCCTGAAGGGGAAAGGGACTTGAGCCAGGTCACCAGCTGGGAACACCTGCAGTTGTGGCTAAAGCCTGGTGCTACTTCCAGAGACCTTAGCACTTTATGTAAATTTATCAATTTATCAATTTGATTGATTGTGGGAAGGAGAGAAGAAGAAAGCCAGCTACCGAGTAAAAAAGGTAATTTTTAGCCTGGAGAATTTATGCAGCGAAAATGTATTGCAGGGTGTGAAAGCTCAGGTTGGATCATTCACTCTCCACATAATCCCCCCAGACATTTTCCTGAGCACCAGCTGCTACTAGGAACCTGCCTTTAATCTGGAAGAAGGTGGAAAGGCACAGTGATGACCTTGACATGGCATTCCCCTCAAGCATTTCCATTGCATGGGGTTGAGATGCATATAGGACAAAAAAGGAGTTAACAGTACAAGGGAGTAGACGCCCAGGTCCTACTGAGTAAAATATATCCAATGCTGGAGAGTGGGGAGAAGCAAGTACTTGAACTTTGGAAGACAGCCCCAGTCTGCAGCCTCACTCTGCAACTTTCAAGTGTTGTAACTTGGGGCAAGTTACTCCATCTTCAGAGTCTTGTTTTCCTCATCTGTAAAATAAGAAATATACAAGCACCATCTTCATAGAGATGTAGTCTTCACAGTATTAAAAAATAAAAACAGTTGACATTTACTAAGCCTTTACTGTATGCCATTATGGTGCTCATATAAATCTCAAAAAACCTGCAATAGGTGAGTTTTCAGATAAACTGAGGCACAGATCAGCCTAATGATGCATGCAAAGTGTGCTTTAGTCCATGGCCTGATCAAAGAGAAGGAGAAGGTGGAGGGGGGGCTCTCAGCTGATAGAAGCCTAAGAAGGGATTTATGGGATGAGAGGCCAGAAGGTTGGTTCCAAAAACAGAAGTGACCTTCGGATGCCCAGCAGGCTCCAGGTAGTCTGTCTCAACTTGGATTCTCTCAGAGCCAGGTATACATCTGGGGAAGAAGGATCCAGAGAACATGGTGTGTAGGGAAATGTCCTGCTGGGGAACCAGGAACCTCCAGTCCCAGCTCTGCCACAGTCTGCTGTGTAAACCTGAGTCGCAGCCTTCCCATCTGAACAGAGAGCAGCGAATGCACTAGAATTGGAAGTCTCAAACTCAAATGCCTTTAGAAGGCAATGTGAGTGAAGAAACCAGGTATATGTCCGTGTGAGGGGGAGAGGTGGGACTGGTGAATGGAACAAGAATAGTGTGCCCAAAGGCATTCGCCTTCAATTGTCTAAAAGGCAATGCTGGCCAAACAAAATGCATCTGCTGGCCAGATCAGGCTGCCCCAGGGGCTGAGTTCCTTGATCTGCACAACCTGAAGAAGGGCCCTTCCAGCTCTGATGATCCAGGGCTCATCTTGTGACTCTAGACCTTCCTTCCTTTCTTCCCTTTTTCCTCATTTATTGTGGTAAAATATACCTAACATAAAATTTATCATCTTAACCATTTTTAAGCATACAGTTCAGTGACGTTAAGTACATTCACATTATTGTGCAACCATCACCACCATCTATCTTTTGGTCTTGCAAAACTGGAACTCTGTACCCATTGAACAATAACTGTTCATTTGCCCCTCCGTGAGTCCCTGGAAACCACCATCCTACTTTTTGACTCTTTGAATTTGACAACTTCAGGTACTTCATGTAAATGGGATCATGCAGTATGTATCATTTTGTGACTGGCTTATTTCACTCAGCGCAATGACCTCAAGATTTATCCATGTTATGGCATGGGTCAGAATTTCCTTCTTTTTTTAAGGCTGAGTAATATCTATTGTATATATATCATCTTTGTTTATCCATTTATCCATCAGTGGACATTTGGGTTGCTTCCACCTTTTGGCTATTGTAAATGATGCTGCTATGAACATAGTTGTACAAATATCTATTCAAGTCCCTACTTCCAGTTTTTTTGTGATATACTCAGAAGTGGCATGCCTTTCTTTTGTTCATGTTCCTCTTTCTCCTTCTGTCTTTTTACACTATGATCCTTCTGTAGGTTCTGCCCCTGGAAAACAAGATGAAGGATGCCCGCCGCTTCCCAGCCATCCTGTCTCTGGGAATGTCCATCATCACTGCCTTGTACATCGGCATCGGGTCTCTGGGCTACCTGCGGTTTGGAAATGACATCAAGGCCAGCATAACCCTTAACCTACCCAACTGCTGGTAACTTCACAGGCCCCCAGGTGGTGGGCACTCAGGGCCGGGTGGGAATGTGGGGGTGACTGCCTCCCTTCCATAGATGGCAAACTAAGGTCTAGAGAGCCTCCACAGTGACAGGCAGAGCTGTAATTAGAACCCTGGGCTCCTGAAGGAGGAGGAGCTCCTCCTTCAATAGCCTGCCATGTTGAATGAAGCCTTGACAGCTTAGGATGAAGAAGGACATGATTTAGGAAGAGAGAGAAGTGACAGTTCTTGGTCACCTAAGGAGAGAAGGGAGGGGCCCTCAGGGAGAACAAGAGGCAGAGAGAGGAGTTGGTGGGTGGCAACAGTCATCTCTGATTACATTTCCTGAGGCCTGTGCTACAAGTCTTGCTTGCCACAGACAAGGGTGCACATCCTCCAAGTTAGAGTAGCTAGGATAAAAAAGTAGTAAAACAAGAACCAATTTGGGAAGACCACTGTAAAAACTCTATGTTCAAGTGCACCTAATTCATGCAACAGTTAGCTGATCCAGACTTCAACAGTACCATATTTAAATAGACACATGAACCCATATTGCGTTGTGCAGCGCTCTCCCACACGGAGGCATGTCATTAATTATAGGATGCCTGTCTTTTTAAGGGTCACTTGGAGGCTTAATTTGCCTAAGTGGGGCTCCTTTCCCAAGGTGGTAAATGTCATTCATCAAGCATTTACTGCATGCCAATTATGTGCAGTTATCAGTCTAGACATACACGGGCATGGAGGGTACTGATGGAGTAGGCTGTGATCTTGAACTTCACTACCTTCCCCAGCTCATGATCCAGTGACAATGGGGGAGGAATAGTGTATATACACAAATGGAACAGAACAAGGAGCCCTCCAGAGTAGCAAAGAGGCTCTGGGGACTTTTGAGGAAAGAAATCCATCCGAATGAGAATCTTTGTGTGCAACAAGACAACTCTGTCCAGACAAGGACAACTCTGCCATTCATGGGCACAAGTCCTCGCTGCACCACCTCCTAGCTGGTGGTCATGGACAATTTACCTAACCTCTCTGACACTCAGTGTCTTCATCTATAAAGTGGAGTTACCATGGGGATTAAGTTGGACATGCAGTATACCTCAAAAGATGGGGCAGATGGAAATGGACTAAAGTGGTGTTTCAGACAGCAGGACTAGTGTGAGCAAGAAACTCAGAAATGTGCAAGTTAATCTTTCTAAGGAATGGCTCCCCAGCCCCCATATACATACAGGTTTACTAAACGTGTGAGATGCAGCTACCACATTAGTGGAATCAAGGAAAAAGTCCTATCTCCATAGGTCAAAAAAGGCTTTGGTAAAACTCCACACCCCCCATCACACCCTGTCTCTGCACCTCGTCCAACGCCTGCAAGTAACCCTGCCTCTCCTTTTGCCTCCCAACCCCCACGCAACCCTGTTTGTAGACTGCTTCCTTCCCCAAGGATTCAGGACTCTGCAGTTCTCTCAACCTACTAGAAGCATGTGCTGGGGGCCTGTTATGTGCCATGAGCTCTGGGGGGAATCCAGAGAATTGCTAAGGACTGACATTAGATCACAAGGGACTAACATGTTTTAGACTCAGGTTTTTTGGTCTTCACTACTTACCACTGTGTCTCCCTAGGCAAAGCAGCTGGCCTAAGCCTCTAGTTCCTCAAATCTAAAATTTACCTTCAAGTGATACTGGTTTGTGAAGGGGTTACGTGTAGCCACGCTCAAGATTCTTTTTCTTTAGAGATGACCCCCGGTTGCCATTTGGATCCGTGATCCCTCACTCTGTTTTCACCACGTGCTCTGCTGTGACTCCCTCTTGGCTTTGGGAAGTCCCCTGCCCATCATTTTCAGACAAGGAGACTGGAGCCCAAGGGGCGATTCCACCATCAGAGGTTAATATTTCCAGGAGGCCAGGTGCCTGAGCGTGGTGGCCTTAGGGAGCATTGCTGTGGTTTGTCCTGCAGGCTGTACCAGTCAGTCAAGCTGCTGTATGTCGTTGGGATCCTGTGCACCTACGCCCTGCAGTTTTATGTCCCTGCAGAAATCATCATCCCCTTTGCCACCTCGCAGGTATCAAAGCGCTGGGCACTGCCTCTGGACTTGTCTATCCGCCTCGCCATGGTCTGCCTGACATGTGAGTACAAGGCTGAGCGAAATGTTGCTCTTTTCCTGAGGCTGTCAGGAATCCGCCAGATGGTGAAGGATAGTCCTGATAACCAGCATTGACTGAGCTCCATTTGTGTCTCAAAGACTGCACTAAAGCTTTACGAGTGTAACTCATGTAAGCCTCGGGGACAAACTAATTCTTCTATGTACCTAATTAGTCGGATTCACAGGTGTCCAGCCTGAGGGAGTGACACAGCTGGTTGAACAATAATCATAATGATAATACCTGATATTTATTAAATACCTACTGTGTACCAGCCACTGTGTTCTTTTAGGCCGTATTTCATAGTATTTCATTCAGCCCTGCAGGAACTCTTAGGAGGTAGGACTATGATAAACTTTCCTTTTCAAATGAGAAAACTGAAGCAGAGAGCGATAAGTAACTGGTCAGGAAGTGCCAGAGCTTGGATTTGAATCCACATCATCTAAGTCCAGAGTCAGCACCCTTCACCTCCGAGGCAGAGGTCAGTGGCCAGTGAGTCTAATCTAACAGCAGAGGTGTGTTTTTGAGCCTCAGAGTGTTGTATAAACTTGTGCCAACATTTAAAACGTCCAAGATCTCACATACAAATCCAGATTTCTAACGTTTTCAATTAAAATGCTTTGGCAAGCCTAGGATCACATTCCCCACTGGCAGCAGTGAGCTGGACTTGCCCCCTAGGCTTCAGCTGGCCCCGCTCACCCCCTCACAGTCCTCCTTATGCCCCAGGCCCCATAATCCAGGGCACCCCATTTGTGCAAGTGTTTTAGCAGGGGTGAAGGAGAAGATAGAGATTTCCTGCACAGAGTGTCGTGTTCCCCAGCTGTCCCTAGCTCCTTTTAATTGTGATTCTAGGACTTCCTCAGGGAGATTCTTTTTTTTTTAAGATTTTATTTGACAGAGAGCACAAGCAAGGGGAGCAGCAGAAAGAGGGAGAGGGAGAAGCAGGCTCCCCACTGAGCAGGGAGCCCAATGTGGGGCTCGATCCCAGGCCCCCGGGATCAGGACCTGAGCCAAGGGCAGCCGCCTAACCAACTGAACCACCCAGGTGCCCCCCTCAGGGAGATTCTTGCTTCTTGCTGCACTAGACCAACCCATGCAGTTCAATGGACACCAGTTTTCTTTCTTTGAAATGATTTGTTCCCAGTTTAGCCCAGGAAGCAGGGACACTGCCATTCGGAATCTTAAGAGACTCCAGAGAGATCAAGGCATTTGTCCTAAATGTGAAGATAATAATCCCTGAAGCCTACAGCTTCTGCATGCACTGCCCCAATCCAGACAAATGCGGAAATAAATTGAAATAACAAACTTTTCTGAGTTATATTATATTATAGTGCTTTATATTAACTCAGTTATCTTGGGGCATATAAATGAGTTTAAAACTTGAACACCATTTGCAGTGTGAACCATAACACCTAAAAGGATAGATAGCATTTATCCCCATTTTGCAGAGGAGGAAACAAGCTGTGGAGGAGATAGGGACCTAACCCAAGGCCACACAAGGGGAAGCCAGAATCCTGCCTCCCAGACCTGTTTTGGTTTTTTTTTTTTTTTTTTTTTTAAGATTTTATTTATTTGCGAGAGAGACAATGAGAGACAGAGAGCATGAGAGGGAGGAGGGTCAGAGGGAGAAGCAGACTCCCCGCTGAGCAGGGAGCCCGATGCGGGACTCGATCCCGGGACTCCAGGATCATGACCTGAGCCGAAGGCAGTCGCCCAACCAACTGAGCCACCCAGGTGCCCGACCTGTTTTGGTTTTGATATACCACACTCCTCCTCCACAGGAGGCCTGGGAGAGGCTTCTGGGCCTTCTTGGTGAGTCTTCCAACAAGTCAAATAAAAAATGTGGAAGGCCAGGCCTATAAAGCATCCTAGTAAAAAATAGATAATTTCAAAATCTTTAGCTTCTAGTGTTTGTTGTTTTCTAACATGTATGTAAAACCTGGAGAAGACATTCTTTTAATGAGACCCTGCGATCTTGTTCCAACTGAAGACCCCTTTCTCCTATAAATAATTTCACATTCTAATCATTTGCAAGTAAGAGGTGCATGTAGTCATGTTCATTATTAAAATGTTAGCTCTATAAAGGCTTTTTTTTTTTTTAGTTTTTGTATCTTCCGTACATTGATGTGTCCCAAACAGATGGGACAGTTCCCAGCACCGTTATTTAATGTTATTTATTAAGTTAGAGCTTAATCGTTGTCTTTTTAAAAAGATTATTTATTTGAGGGGCGGGGGAGATCAGAGGGAGAGGGACAAGCCGACTGCTGTTGAACAGGGAGGCCAATGTGGGGCTGGATCCCACAACCCCAAGACACAACCTGAGCTGAAACCAAGAGTTGGACACCAACCGACTGAGCCCGCCAAGCACCCCTTAATCATTGTTGAATAATGTGGGGATTTGAAGTGCGCCTCAGTGGCATAAAAATTATTTTAAGCTAAAAACATCTGAACAAACAGCAGCTACAGGGAGGGGAAAAATAAATCCTTATCTGAACTTCCTTTGCTGAATTAAGCAGGACCTTCTGACAAAGTACAGCCTCCATAAATCCCCTCTCTGGAAGGTTTTCTGCCAGAAAGGAGACTAACCATCATCACAGACTAATTCCCTATATAAACTCTCTGAACTCATAACTTCCACTTGTTCTTACATATGCTCTTTTTGCCCCCTCCTTTCCCCTTATGAAATGGGCATGTGAACCCCTATCTTTGGCTGTTCTGGGAGCCAGCTCCTCTGAAGGCTCCCTAGCCCTAAGCAAACTGTCTTTTGTCGTGTTAATTTTGTCTACTGTCAGTAAATCCCCAGCCCCTCCTTGCCCCCCCCATCATTGAACCTGTAGTAGGCAGAGGGAAGATTTCTCTTCCCAACAATATGAATGCTTATTTTGGAAAAATGATTAGGAGACACACCAGATTTTTAATTCATAGCCACTAGTGACGTGATCGGAGTATTATAGGACTTTCAGTGTTTTCCTTATGTAACTAAAATCGAGAAACAACTGGTTTATGTTTTAAGAAAAGGATTCTAAAACCAAGCTTGGGAAGCTTGACTAAGTCCTGAAGATCCATATATCCCGTATCCTCTCCCACAGGTACCTTGGCCATCCTTATCCCCCGCCTGGACCTGGTCCTCTCCCTGGTGGGCTCCATGAGCAGCAGTGCCCTGGCCCTCATCATCCCGCCCCTCCTGGAGATCACCACCTACTACTCAGAGGGCATGAGCCCCCTCACCATCGCCAAGGACGCCCTGATCAGCATCCTGGGCTTCGTGGGCTTTGTGGTGGGGACCTACCAGGCCCTGGACGAGCTGATCCTCTCGGGACAACCCCTCACCTTTTCCAACTCCACCGTTTTTATTCAGTGAGAATGGCACTGCACCTTATCCACCAGCACCTGACTTTCGCTGGTATGGATATCTTGTGTATGCTTTATCTTTATTTTGCCTCTTTATCTTTTTTCTGGGCCAAGTCATGGTGAAGCAAGCAAGGACTCACCAGCTACAGGGTCTAGATGGTAATTTACAGATTTGTTTTTAATTACTTTTCTTTCCATCTCTAGCTTTCCCTTAAGTTGAGAGTCTCCCATGGAAGGCTCTTGATTCATCCAACTTCTTGGCAATTGACAAGGTGGATTTTGTACCTTGAGTGGTGCTATGCAAGAAGAGGCCACCGGGGGGAAACCAAGTGACAGCAACGGGCAGAAGGAGGTGCAGCTGGCTAATGCTGACCCTGAGCTGGTAGACAAAGGGTTTCAAAGAGCATAGACTAGGGGACATAACCTATAATCCAACAAGGAATACACAACTCCTATGACAAAATAGTTACGGCAAAGAGGTCCAATGTGAGCTGCAACACTCAGAAAGGAGCCATCATATTTAAGTCAAGGGCAATAAACTTTCTAAATCACTGGATAAAGTTTTAGCCCAGTTCGGAGATGCCAGCAGCAGATAGGAGGTGTGGATGTAGATGTGTCAGTGGCAGGGGGGAGGGGAGTGGACAATACCATTACAGTATCTGACATTTACCTCTTAATTCTTGCAACAAGCATTCTACCTACTGTGTGTCAAGCATAGTTAAAGGTCCTTAGAGTAAGTTGCAAAAATGGCCACAAATTCCTCTTGACAATGTGACTGTGTAGCTCCTCTCAACAAGAGGTGAAATCTATGTCTCTACCCCTTGAATCTGGTCTTGCCTTCATGACTTATTTGGACCAATGGGACTTTAGTAAATGTGATGCAAGCAGAGGTTTGGTGATAGCTTGTGCATCAGGACTTTCATTTCTCGCTATGCTGTGGAGCCATGACCATCAGGTGAAGAAGCCTGAGCTAGCCTACTGGAGGATGAGAGGCCATGTGGAGCAGAAGCGAATCGTCCCAGTTGAACCCATCCCTCAGATCAACCAGCCTGCCAACTTCAAGACACATGAGGGAAGCCTCCTAGACCAAACCCAGCCCCAGCCAGGCTGACCCAGATCCTAAGAATTGCCCCGATGATCCACAGAATTGTGAGAAATAATAAATGTGGTTTTAAGCCATAAAGTGTGGGAGTTTTTATGCAGCAAAAGTTAACTGATACTCACTCTAAAGGAGATATACCAATGAGAAAAGCATCTCTGCCCTCAAAAGCTAGTTCACTATCCACTGGGGAAGAATTACAGGTAATCTACTAAGTCGATAGCATCATTGGTCCTTTTAAGGGCAAAGGGACGCTGACTGCTCTGGAGTACTGAGTATGGCTTTCCACAGGTGGCGCCATTGACCTGGATTTCGAGTAGAACTTGGGTCTCCTGACACTGAATCTTGCCCTCCTTCCACTCCGACCTGCTTCCTTGACAGTCCTGGCCTTTTCTCATGTCTGAGCTTGGCTGGCAGCAGGAGCCAGCCAACCTGAAACACCATCTCAACCTTCCAGGTAGTGTTTGCTCCTTCCTCCCTAAAATCACTAAAATTAGGAAAGTGCCCCCAAATAACCGAGTAGATATATAGGGCAGATCTATAATCTCAGGGGAGAGAGTTTCACATCATACTTCCTGTAATTTATGGGAATGCCCCATGCTTGTTTCTGCCTCCATTTTAAGAGAATATTTGAAGAAGCCCTTTCCTGCTTATTTTCAACCATGAGCCTTCCTGTATGGCCTAGGGAAGATGTTGGGGGAGAGTGTCTGTCCCAGTTCCTAAATCCTGGTCTGCTCCTTTTGTGTGTTACTTTCTACCTGCTAGACTTCAAGGAGGTACTTCATGCTCACCAGCCCTGCTCAGGTAAGAGAAGGGCCAGCAGACCGCACCCAGATCCCCTAGACTGCAGAGTACCTGCTGGGAGTCAGGGCACTCATAGCCTATGCAGTGGTCCATAGCCCACCCGACCAGAGAGCTGGCTGATCATTTCCCCCCCTGCACTTCTGTTTCATCAGCAGACCCAAAGCACTTCCACTGAGGGGCTCAGAGCTGTGGCAAAGCTTTCTTTCTCTCTCTGTGCTTGCCTCTCCCGCCATATTCCTCCATCGCCCCAACCAGGCTTGCTCAGTTTAAGATTGTCCTCCGTTATTAAAAAATGGTCACAGTCATTGCCAGGGACTAGCCCCTACCATGTAAGATGCTCAGGTCAATCTTATCATTTAGACTAATCTGGCTAAAGTTCAATTTTGGGAAGAAAAAAATAAATTTAGTAACATAGATGTAACTAAGAAAAGTAAGCTGGGGAGACTCATTAGTAATTGTCAGCAACACTAAAGAATACCAATTGCTGGAATTGTGTTTGAGTGGCGAGGGTATTAAATTTTGTTGTTTGTTTCACACACACACACACATACACACACACACACCCTCCCCATCCCAACTGATTCTTTAACTTTTGGAGCTTGCTCTTGAATCAAGAATCATAGAAAATCCTTTCTTACTTCCCTCACCAAGCACTTACTGTGTTTTGCATGGGGTCTCACTTAATCCTTACAACAGTGCTGGGAGATATGTCCTGTCATTGTCCCTATTTTCAGATAAGGAAACAGGCTGAGACACAGGAATTAAGTGGCTGATGATCAAACATGTAGTTGGGCTCAGGACTCAACAGTTGTGCACCAACACCCTTCACTTTGTAGGGCCCAAGAGGGACCTCGAAGGGTGATGGTCAAAGTGAAAAAGAGGAAACTGTGTCCAGTGAAATAAGCCAGTCACAAAAAGACAAATAATGCATTATTCCAGTTTTATGAGGTACCTGGGGTAGTAAGACTCCTAGAAACATAGAATGGTGGGGATGGGCTGGAGAGAGGAGCAGGCAGCGGTTTAATGGGGAAAGAGGTTCAGTTTTGTGAGAAGAAAAAAGGGCTGGAGGTTAGTCGCACAACACTGGGGATTACTTAACATTACTGAACTGTACACTTAAAAATGGTTAAGATGATCTTTCCAACGTGAGGAAAAGCCCTTGGGGCATCAGAGGAAGGAGAGGTCTCATTGGACATTCGGAGGAAGGAAGTGGCCCTTGGAGCAGATTTTGCAGCAGTACTGAGTTGACATGGGCAGCACGTGGCTCCCATAATCTTCATAAGTGGCCTGTCTAGACCATCCCAAATGAACATGCGGGCCAAGTACGGTATGCCCAGGCTTGCTCTGCAAAATGCACTTCAAGACAAGGCTTGTGCGCGCCAACGCCATCCTTCCCTTTACGTGAAAGTTCTTGGCGTCATCTTGACCCCTCCCTCTCTTCTATAACCCACCTCTCATCTGTCCATCAGCACATCCTCTTGGCTTTATCTTTTAAAGGTACCCAGACTTCAGGCGCTTCTCACCAGCTCTTTAGCTACCACCCTGGTCTAAACCACTGTTGACAGGCACCCAGCTCATCACAGTGGTCTCCTAATTATCTCCCCGAGTTGGCCCTTGCCCTCCTTCAGTCTGCTCCCAACCAAATGGCCCTGAGAGGTCCTGTTAAAATGCAAGGCATGTCACTTCTCTTCTCAACCCCTCCATGATTCCTCATCTCAGGGTAAAAATTAAAGGCATTACAGTGGCCTATAAGATCTTACCCATCCCATTCCATCCCTCTTCCATTACTTCTACTTACATTAACTGTACCTCTAGTGTGACCATGTAATTTATCATCCAAACTAGGACAATTTTGGTAATGAAAGAGGCACTATTGGTAATTATGCCAGGGCAGTAAACACACACCAGCACAGTCCTGGGCAAACCAGATATGTATCCACTCTACTCATCTCCCCTCTCCTTTGTGCATGCTGAGCCAGCCACATGGCCTTATTACCATCCCCAAAATGTCCAGGCCCTCTTCTCCCTCAGGACCTTTGCACTTACTGTTCCCTCTGCTTTAAGTTTCTTACCCAAGACATACACGAGACATGCTCCCTCATCCCATTCAGCCCTTTACCCAGATGTCACTTTCTCAGTGAGGCCCTCTCTGACCACCCCATCTAGGATTGCAGCGCCCCCCCACAAGCCAGCACTTCCCATTCCCCTTTATTCCTTTATTTTTCTCTATAGTACTTACTACCAACTAACATAACTTGACATATTTGTTTATTGTCTGTCTCCTCACTAGATGTAGTTCCATGAGGGTAGAGATTGTAGTAAGTTTCTCCCCTAATGTATTCCCAGTAGGGAGAACACTGTCTAGTATATCTTAGGTGCTCAATAGATAGTTGTTGAATAAATGATTTTTTTTAAAAGTTTACTTTTACTCTCTTCCACGTAGGTACAGAACATACGCCCTTCCTGTGTGGGAATTCTGAGCAGGTAGCACCTGAACTGGGCTTAAAAGCCACTCTTGACCCAGGGAAGGTGGTGGCCGATCAGTCTCGGTTGGGCCACACCTGCATCCTGGGATTCTGTAGCACCTTATTGGCCGAGCAGCCTTCATTGTGAGGTAGCTCTGGCCTCTTCCTCAGAGATAGACAAGCACTGAACCTGGCCCCACGTCCAGGCACCAGGACCTGCAGTCCAATGGTGACTTCCTCCTCCCAGTCACACTGTTCCCTGTGCCCTACAGCACTTAGGGCTGACCTGGGAGGGACTGGAAGCCCAGGTGAGTCTTGGCCTGTGGCCGACCAGTTCTGAGGGGCACTGAGGGTCATGCTGAGACTCTCCTAAGTCCCCCAAAAGCCAGGTGAGGCACAGTCAACATCAGCTTCCTCTGCCACCAGCGCTTCACTGATTCACACATTTGGGCTTCAGTCTGGGTCAGGCACCCTCGGGAAACAGGAACCAGCATCTTGGGCCTGCAGCCCTAGTTTCTCTGGAGAAAAACTCATGGGAGGCTGGTTCAAGGCTGTTATAGGCCTTCACCCTGAGCTGGCACCACCTACCCACCATGTTGAAGACGTCACTGCTCGGAAAGGACTTCAACAGTGAGCCCGGCTCCTTGGACGACAGGTCCAAGTCATTCTCGGAGAGTAGGGGCAGCTTAGCTTCAGAGAACATCCATCCTGCTGAGGAAGCCAGTGGATTATCGTAAGTGGCCGCACTGCCCTTCCCGACCTGAGGCCAAGCGCCGCTGCCTTCACAGCCCTGGGCCACATCAGCCTACTTCTCTCTTCCTAACACCTCTAGCCCCGGACTGAACAGGAGATGCATGGA